CAGCTCGAGTGGATCGGCGACCTCAGCGAGAACCTCTTCGAGGACGAGGAGGCCTTGGACGGGTTGAGCGAGACGGCGCACATGGTGCTCTTCCTCGTCATGGTGCTCTTCCTCGCCCAGGTCGTGGGTTTGGTCGTCCTCGGGGAGAACATCCAGGCCCAGTGGCACACCTGGGAGCTCGTCTGCTGCCACGGCGCCGACTCCATCCCGAAGGTCGCGCCGCCGCGGAACCGGTCCGCGCTGTCGCGGCTCCTCCACCGCTTCTCCGGGCGCCTGACGCAGAACCACCGCCTGGCGCTCTTCGCGGCGACGCGCAAGACCTTCATGGTCAACCACCCGGAGGAGATCACCGACGCCTCCTGCTTCCAGTTTTCTACCTATCTCTCGACGGCGCTCGGGACGACGATCGCGGAGTTCGTCGAGGTGCCCGCGCGGTGCTGGATCGCCGTGGAGCTGCTGTTGCTCGCCCTTGTTTATGTATTCACGCTCATGGAGCCGAACCAGGCTTTTGTTTTTTGGATCTGCCTGGGCTGGCTCACGGGGCCGTGCCTGACGTTCACGACGCACGCGAAGATTCGCGCGATTCTGCAGATCCACTGCGAGGCCCACCTCGACGACGACGACCCGCGGAGCCCCGGCGGCGTCCCCCTCGAGGAGTCCAAGGACGCGGACCTCGAGGCGCCGCTCCTCGACGGCGCCGCGGAGGGCGCCCTGACGACGGAGGAGAAGCCGCGGCGCCGCCGCCTCGCGTCGCTCGCGCGCGTCACCGCGGACCACCTGGGCCTGGGCACGACCCTCGACGCGTGCTACGAGAAGAACTTCTGGTTCGGCCAGTCGACGAAGGCGAAGTTCACGCTCGACGTCATGCGCCTCGCGACGTTCCGCCGGAGCGGGACACGGGTTTCCCGACGCTTCCGATCTCGGCCGTTTCCCACTCGTTTCGGCCGACTTTTGGACGAGCGATCATCGCTCGGCACGGTCTCGAAGCGTGGATGCCTTTCCCGGAACGCGCGCGCGCGCGAACACTCATGTTGAATCGCCCGGTTCAGGTTCTGCCAGAGCATCTACCTCGCGATCTTCCTCGTGGTCTACGGCAAGCAGCTCCTGGGGCCGCGGGGCCACCCGAACTCGGCCCAGGCGTCGCTGTGCTTCCGGTCCTGGCCCGTCGTCGCGGCGCTCTTCGCGGTGGCGCTCTTCCCGCCGCTGACGACGACGGCGAAGATGACGCGCATCATCGAGGATTTCACGGTCGTGGCCCACATCGACACCTTCGTCAACCGCCGCTTCATCCAGCAGGTGCTGCGGCGCCAGAAGACCGTCGCCGCCTTCGCGGCGCTGCGCGTCGTCCAGTCCTTCTACGACACGGACCGGCTCCGGGCGACGACGGGCGCGGAGCGGACGACCTCGAAAGCCGACGACGCCGCGGCGGCGGGTGGCCGGTGCTGGCCCTGCGGCGGCGGCGCGCACTCCCAGACCGAGGCGCTGGGGCTGGACGTCGCGCGCCTCAAGCGGCGGCGGCACTGGCGCACGCTCTTCAAGATCTTCGACAGCGACGGCCAGGGCTCCATCGACCTCGACGAGATCCGCGACCTCCTCTCCAAGTTCGCCCACGCCTGCAACGTCGACGCCGTGCTCGAGCTCCTCGACACGGACGGCTCCGGCGACATCGGCTTCGAGGAGTTCTTCGCCTTTGGCCTCCAGTCCGAGGCCTCGAGCCACGGCGAGGCGGAGCACGACCTCATCAACAAGCGCATCTTCGACCTCATCGACGAGGACCACAGCGGCTGCATCTCCATCGACGAGCTCCACGAGGTCTTCGTGCGCCTCGGCCAGCACGTCAGCATGGACGACGTCTACAACATCGTCTCCGACATCGACGAGGACGGCGACGGCACGCTCGACGCGGAGGAGTTCTCCATCCTCCTCAACCGCCTCCACATCTAGGACCCCCCCTTGTTTTGGCGCACCGCCCGCCGGCAGCGCACCCCTAAAATTCAACCACGCTACGGCGCCTTCCCCCGCGCGGACCGGACGCACGGCGTCGAGCAGAAGTGGCGGCCGTTCATCTCGAAGTGGTCGCTCAGCTTCCCCGGCAGGCCCGCGCCGCACTCGCCGCACCGGTTCGTCGCGTCGGCGATGGCTCGCCTCCTGTCCGCCGCCGCGCGCTCCGCCGCCGCCGCTTTCGCCGCGGCCGCGCGCTCCGCGGCCTCGTCGGCCTTCTTCTCCTTCTGCCGCGCGCGCTGCCGCCGCTTCTTCTCGGCCCTGCGCTCCGCGGCCAGGACCCCGGCGACGAGCGCCTCGGCCTCGGCCCTGCTCGCGGCGTCGGCCGCGTCGCGCGCGGCCAACGCGTCCGCCGCGGCCGCGGCCGCCGCGGCCGCGCGCTCCCGCTCCGCCGTCGCCGCGTTCGCCGCCGCCGCCGCCGCCGCGTCCGACGTCCGCTTCGCCGCGGCCCAGCGCCGCGCCGCCGCGAGCGCGTCCCGCGCGTCCGCGTCCTTCTTCGCCGCGGCGCGTTTCTCGTCGTCCAGGCGCGACGCGATCACGCGCCGCTGGAGCGCGACGA